GAGTTTCAGTTTTACTCTTCACCTGGATTACTTGAGAAGAGAATGATTTCTGGAGGGGCGGTTACCGGTGACTACCTCTATTTATACTGGTAACAGTACTGGTTATCCTGAGGTACGCATCTCCAGAAGGAATTGGAACATATTACAACAATATGAAAGAAAATTGAGAATAACTGAGAGAACGGCTCTTATGTCTATAGACAAAGTTTACAGGACAGTTTTTCTCGAAACGGTTTGGAGGATTGCGTGATGGGTATCTCTCGACCTCCTCCTGCTAGAAAAGAAGACGAAAAATGGTTTTAAAAAAGAGAACTCAAGAACAAATTTGTAAGGAATAATAAGGAAGTACACCAGTAAAGTATGGAATTGGTGGTTGGCAACTACCCTGAAAGCCAAATGGGTAGTTGCTCATTGACTATTCGATGTTACTATTTCTAATCAATTTCACACCAAGCTTCATGGCTTATTTATCCCCTCGGTTGTAGCGTTGGCACGTCGTTTTAATTATCAAGGACTAAACTATTGAGGAAAACCGGGATCTAGTTCATAACAGAAACCTATTATCCTCAACTAATCAGTAAGAACTACGCGTATTAGGAAGCTGTAGTGTACGGATTGAAGAAATTAGAGGGAGAAATTTTAAGCTCCTTTAATGAAAGTAAACATTATGAAGTCATAGAAAAAGTAACAAAAGAAAGTATTAAAAGCAAAAAAATAAACAAAAGTATATTTAATTAATAGAATAAACGGTCGGCGTTACATGCACTACTTGGAATGCTACTCCAAAATCCGTATTGCAGAGAGGCTAGTAGTGGTGCCCAAAATCGGTCTTGATCTTACACTTTGCAAGACCGCTTGGCTGATACAAGACCAAAACTAAGACTAATAAAATTAGTTGTAATAAAATAAATAAACAAATAAAAATATTTGTGAATAAAAATAAGACAAAATATTTACTAATACTTGATAATTTTAGTAACTGTATTTAAATAATTTGTAAGCAAGATACTTTTACGTTTAACTCTTCCAATTTTTCTCTTCGGCTTAGTTAGGTTTCCCCTACCTAAAAAATTACAGTAATATCTCTATAATAATAGGCTAATAGATAACTGCAATGCTGTTGCGGTATTTGAGAAACTTTAAGCATTATTTTTTTAATCTCCTAATATGTCTTTTAAAAAAACGTTATTATATGGTTGTAAAATATTAATAAAAGAAAACTAAACTCTCTATTTCTAATTTACAACGAAATAATAGCATATACATATTTGTACTGAAGTTGAAACTTCTACTTAATAGCAGCGAACCCAGTTAATTAGATCATATAACCAACCGATAAGGAGAGGCAATTTGTTCGGAACTGCAGTTAAAAGTTGTTGAGGAAAAAAAATCTTGGAGATATCGTGTGATGAGGCCCGGTATCTGACAGATATGCGTGACTCGTCAGAGCTGGACTGAATCACTTATAGCGAAAACTTAGATTAAACTTCAGCCCCCCTCCCATAAATAGACTTGGCACAGAATTTCCCGATATATAGGGTAAGTCTCCTGTCGATTGTTGAAATACGGAATCTATTGCAAGAAAAATAATTTATGATTCTTAGAAATATATTTCTTCGGTAAAACAGTTCTGAAAATTATGGAATGAACACACTGATAACATGTTTATTTATTAGTTTAATAAGCTAAATATAGCGTAAGCAGGCAGCTAAATCCTAAGGATTTAAGGTTTTATAATTTTTTTTTCAGCTAATCATAATTATAACTCTGATTCAACAATTTTTGAATAAGAGGCAAGCCAAATCCAGAATACGAAGTTTAATCAGTATTGGCGTAACAGACTACGGCTGATAAGCCTAAATTTGAATACCCTTATCAAAGAGGGGAAAACCGATTCGGTAGGCTGAGACCATCTACATAAAATGCAAATTTATATACTTCATCAATTTATAACATTCCATTTTTAAATTTTACTTTCGCTTACCTATATATATGAAATGTATAATAAAGGAAAGTATTGTTCCTTTCATTTATCTATTTATGAAATATAGAGTAAGGGAGAGTATTGCGATCGTGAAAATTTTCGAATCCGAGTTTTCAACGGAAATACACGTTTTGAGGTCCCCTGAGTCCAATGAATTGAAACGTCGGCAACAATAAAAATCTTAACAGAACTGCGTCCTAACTCTTTATCATCTGTAAACCATTAATGTTTATATCTAAAAAATAATTCAAAATTGATCTTTAGGCAGAACAGCTTCTAGGCCCCAAACGTGAGAATACTCGGAGATTGTCCGTTTGTTCCCATGACTTCTTCTGTGAGAATCTTCTTCTCCTCTCCCTCTGCTACCTGGACCTGCGAGAAATATAACAGCTCTCAGTTCCAGAGGACCCATCTACCATGGAGGACACGTCTTAAGCGGATCCTACACGGTCATTCGGAATGGCATTCCGATGCACTATCGACATTTTGTTTAATAGTGTAACGTTATCATTGAAGTCCTGATGGATGTAAACTCTAGAAACCAAAGATTAAATCACGAGAAGTGGAGAGGAGACTGAGAGAAAAGTGGTGGGGAGACTAACCATAGTTCCCTAGTTAGTTTAGTTTACTTAGGCATCACTACCATTGTAAATTCCTGATTTTCATTAAAAGCAGGGGTGCCCAGTAAGAGCTTTCATGGCGCATCAAAATTTTTGAAGATATTTTGAATTTTTGAGAGGAACACATTTTGACAAGGTTATGAATTTTATGAATGAAAAGTTTCATACCAAGGAACAAGCAGAAAACATGGAACATACCGTAACAAGTGTAATTGTGTGTGATCTAGGATTCTTCTAATTCTACCTTCGCTTGATATTTTTAAGAAAATGGGAGGATAAGAGAGTAAGAGATTCTCGAGCCATAGACCTTGGGGGGATGGACACCCCTGATTAAAAGCAAATAGTTTCTCATATTCCTTGTTTTTATTTTTACAAACCATCTCCAACAATTTTTTTTTTTTAAATAATCTAGTGGTCAATAAATTAAAAAAAAAAAGTGGAAACTTCACAATTTACATATAGAAATAACAATTTTAACTGTTGTGTAAATTTATAACTTCTTTTTCCAGATTTCTCAACAAATTTATTATTTTTGATAATACGTTTTCTTAATTCTTGTAAGTAGTTGAATTTTCTAACTTTTTGTCAATCTTAGTCTAATCTTTTGTCAAAACGATTTTCATACACTAGGAAGTAATTATTATATCTCCATATATATGTCCGAAGGATAATGGCTAAATAAGCCTTTTTAATGAAACACATTATTGTAAATGGACAATGCACCTGATCCACACGGTCTGTTATCTCAACGTCGACTGAGCTAAAATGTGTCTGTCTGATTGATACGTATAACTGGATAACAAAACCACTCACGGTTGAGATTTTATGAAACAGAATAGAATGGAACAGCGAACGTTGGGCCGCAGGGTGAGTTCACACTGAATAAATCTCAATCTCTGCCACAGTTTGTCTCAGATTGTCAGTTTGATTCCGATAAACTGAGGAATTTTTTTTTTTTTTTTATCATTCTTTTCATAGAATAATCTTATTCACATCTCGGGATGAAAATATCGTGAATGGATGTGGCAGAAGAATCACTGAAGACGACTGTGGGAACTATTCTAAAATATAATATACGTATACGTTCTGATAATTATTTATGGAGATTCATTTTCGACCTTAATAAACATTTTTCCTTTTTTCTCCATTATTCAATTATCAAATTCTTTCATATTTATATTCAGTTATTTTTTTATTGTTACTGTGAATAAGAGGGAGTTATTTTTTTTTAAATAAACCAAATTAAAGGTACTTTAGAGGAAGAGATATTGAAAATTGGGCATTTAAGCTCTATAAGGCGACATCAATGTGGATAAGACTTAGCTGATATTAAAGACCACCTTAATAATACATTGATATACTGAGGTTTATATAAACTCAGTATAACAGTACCATTCCGGTTTGCCTATTTTGACGAAAATGTTGCTGAAATATCCCATATATATAAAAAGCAATTCGCAATTTCTGTTTCCTACGAGTTATCTTTTTGAGCAACCTTCTTCACATACATACAGACACACACAGACCATTTTGTGGGAATTGGTTATTTGGACTCACGGGACCTCAAAACGTGTACTTCCGTGTAAAAAAAATCGAATTTTTTTTTCACTATCGAAATACTTACCTTTACTATATATAGGTAAATATATATAGGCAACTGAAAGTAAACATTTCTACTTCCTGACCTATTCCAATATAGTTTCACCAACTACCGCTGAGAAGCGCCACCATGCAGCAAAATAGAGGAGTGTCTTCACCTTGAATGGGCTGTCTTACAGTGGCTTAATAATATAAGTTATTTTATAACTATAATAATATTTATAATGAAGAAAAGAATAGTTGGGGTGGTCAATCAATATTATGAATAATATTTATAAGGAATAAATAAATAAATACTTCCCGAAGGTTTTTATTTTTTATTTCCAAGAGTAATTTATTCTCGGCCATCTGGTTTATGCAATTTTGTGTGTATTATAGGTCTCTAAATTCATGCAAAGTTTCATATGGATAAGTGGACCCTCGTCGAAGTTATCACAATTTTTATGAAAAATTCTGACGTGTGTGAACATAAGCAAAACAAAAGTAATAATACTTTTTGAAAGCTCTTATATTTCCAAACCAATTATTTTCCTTAGTTTTATAAATAAAAAAGAAATAAGTAATAATAAAATAAATTAATTTGTAAAAAATGTATTATTTTATTATTCTATCACATTTAAAAAATATGGAGTGGTAAGTATACTGGCTGGCACTTTGTTATACTTTTGTAAATCTAATTTAAAACAACTTCAAATAAATTTAATTTAAAATAATTTAATGTTTATGTATTATTTTTAAAATAATTTGTTTCTTGTGTATGCACAGAAAGATATATTTGGTGGGCAGTTGTGTCATCAATGGTTCCCCACACAACCACCGAACTTCGTGGGCTACGTGATGAACTTTATGAAGCACTTTTTAAAAGACCCAGGCACACAAGGTGAAGAATATTTGCATCTATCTAAAAAAAAAATTAAAAATTTCACAGAATTTTTTTAAAATGTTCTTATTTATGTTTCAGGCCTTTCAAATGTGCGAAATATGTTAAATCTTTTCTTAATATGGCAATCAGCTATAAATTTGCCACTATTAATGACCTCAAAGAGACTTCTGAAAAGGTGAGATGATACATAATCTTTGAAATTAGGATACAATTTTTAAGAGAGTATTCGACTCATTGAGATTTCTTTTTAAATTATCTATCATTACTAAAACTAACAAGATACATTTAATATGTAATTTTTATTATCCCCTTATTAACATAATAAATACATTTTTTTATCTGAATAATATTCGTATTTCCTTGCATTTTGTAAAGAATGTTGTGTATCTATGAAGAAAAAAAAAGGGTATGGAAATCACTAAAAAAAACTTATGTCCTCCATCACTAGTTTACAAAACAAGCCTATTTCTCTTAAACATTATTTTGGTCATAAAAATCTCTTACAATACACTATGTCGGAAAGCATACCGTATACTTCTCACAATCGCATTTCAAAATAACTACTTTGTGGATATTAGAAAATAAATATCAATGTAATTAATGCATTTAATGAATTCAGATTGCATCTATATTATACAGCACTAATTAAATATTTGTAATATAATTAAATAGAGTTAATTATCATATTCCTTAAACATGGGATAACATTTTAAATTTGTAATACATTCCAAAAGAGTACATTGATTCCTTGCCTCATGAAAATGACATGAGAAGAAACTGTTAAAGATATATCTTATGATATGTTAATTATTAGAACGAATACAATTTATTATATAGTTAATGTCATAATTACAAATTAAAATGAAGAATACACCATAATGCATTTAAATCTTATTAATTATAATTTAAATAAATTCTCAACCTGCTGTTAGATTCAACTAAACCTTCTTATATTAGATATAAACTAGAGCCTCTTAATAAAAATTACTAAAGTGCATCCCTTTCTTCACATAAAAAGCTGCTGCTCAGCAAGTAGGAGGATCACTGATGGATAAGTTGCCTATTTAGTGTTTTCTTCCCTAGATTTAGATTTTTTTAGGGTTCAGAGTTTTCCTTTAAAACATAAGTACTATTTGAATAGGGTAAACAATTTTTAGATGTTGTTTGGAATATTTTTTTATTTTAATTAGTTAGTTATTTTTTAAATTAGTTTGAAAATACACCTTGATTTTTTAAAAATTTATTTATTTATCAAAGATATAGAGCATAGATGGGGAACTTGCGGTCTTTAGACATGTGGCCTGCGTGAGCTATCTGTGGCCTCCAAATGTTTTTATGTGGTCTTCATTAATCTAGTGATTGAATTTTTTATTATTTAATTATTTAGGTTACCAAAAATTGAAAATTAATAGAATTAATTTCAATACATGCATAAGATTGTGTATTACCTTATAAATAAAAATAATAACATTAAAACATAAAGAATTACTATGGCCTCCATTATCACTACCTAAGCTTATTCTAATGATAAAAAGGTTCCTTACCTGAGGCCTAGAGCAATAAAATAATAACAAGATATTCCCCTGGCCAAATATCCTTCATTGTGGCATTTTTTTCCTACTTTCTAGCACTGGAACTGAATTGAATATTCAATAAATAAAGTGATTAAAACTGAATAGCCCAGGCCTGATTTAAAGTCTAAATGAGCTGGATTTAAAGTTTGGACACTCCTACACTATTTAGAATTTTTCTGACTGCCCTCTTCATACTATCAAGAAGGTTTATCTTAATAAAAGAATTAATAATTATGTTAATAAATAAAGTTGAATAAAATAACATTATATTAAGACTTTGTTTAACTCATTCCTCTTGTTATTTAACTTTTTTTTATGTGCCTCCTACGGCATTGTGTGGGCCTAGGCTAGGTTTTGTGATGAATCCGTCCTCGCAATGAACAAAAATTTTGAACTAATAATTGGGAATTTCTTTTTTTGTTAAGTGTTCATGTCTTATTAATTTTGTTTCTTACCATTGATTTGATCTGATCTTTTAATTAGTTCAACTAATTTTTAAAAAATAAAATTTATTGAAGTGAATTAATATAAATAATTAAAACAAATGAAATTGGTGTTTTTTATAATTTACCTTCATCTTATACTATAAGGATAAATTTGGTTATGATAATAGAAAAATAATAATTAATCATTTAGGGTTTAAATTGCAAGATTTGGGGAACATTTAAATCAGTTTAAGGGGAATATATATAATTGACCTGGCAACTGTAGGTGGAGTCTAAATTTTTGTCTGCTCAATTTCAGCTTTTAGAATATTCATTTTGGTACAAAATCAAGGTAAAATTCAAATTTTCAAAGCTGGTTATATGTTGGTAACTTAATGGGTAACCCATAGCTTCTTAATGTATATACCATACTTCAGCTCAGTATAAACTCTAGTACAGAACAGAATCCAGCTGAGTATAGATAAATTAAACAACTATAAATAATAAGAAAATTAGTATAAATATTAGAATATTCCTGATTTGCTTACGAATTGCTTATGACCCAAATTATCTTTTCCAGGTTAAGTGGATGCTGAGAGATATAACAAGTTCCTTCAAGGAACTGGTTGCTTCATTGCCATGGATGGACCTAGAAACAAAAGAAGCAACTTGGAAGAAAGCTTCAGCCATTAAAAGCTTCATTGGATATCCAAAGTGGTTATTGGAAGATGGAGAACTAGAAAAATTTTATAAACATGTATTATAAATTTTTTATGTTAAAGTTTGATACTTAGTTTCAAAACCTAAATAATTAATTAATTAATTTCCAATAGGTACAAATAAATGATGGTCAGTTTCTTGAGTCATTGGTGTCTATTAAAGCAGCTGAAGTGAGAACTATTTTAGAGTCTGTGGGAGAACCTCCTAATAATCAATCTCTAGGGTAAGTGTGAGGTTGATCAATGCTTTTATTAAAATTTTATAGCCTACCTATTTAAAACTTAATCATGAAAACAAAAATGTTACAGATGGCTCAGTGATCCTTTAGATGTGAATGCTTACTATGGACGAGGAGGCAATGCTATTGGTAAATTTCTCGAATATAGAAACATAAACCTTCAATACAGGCATTATAAAAATTATAAATACATTTCAATTATATTGGTAACCAGTCTGGCTAAAATGTCATATTTTTAAATAGTAATCTTGAAAAGTCACATTTGTAATTAGTCACAAAAATTAACCTTATTAAAATCCCTCTGAGTAGTAAAGGATCCAGTTATGCTGAGTTGTTTTTATCTTTTTAATTCCAATCAGAACTTATTAAAGAAACATAAACAATAATCATTACAAAATAAGAGAGAATCACTTTAATTTCATAAGAGAGGTGCTACCCAATTATATTGGATTGCTACAAACACAGCATACTTATAAATGATTATGGACAATTTTTTAAAGCTAATATATAAATATATGTGAGCATACAATCTATTTTTTTATTATTTTATATTATATTTATGTATTATTTTTATTTTTTATTTATTTTTCTTCTTTGTTGACAATTTCTTTCATTCATTCATCAACATTTTACTTCTCTTTCATTCCCTTCTCTCCCTTATATATTTCTCTTATTCCTCCTCATATTGTCTCCTCTCTCTTCCTAACCTAATTCATAAAAAATTCTTTAATTTTGTACTTTTTTGTTATCCTAAAGGGACTTCTTCCCAGAATAAAATTATTTTCTATTCTATTCTATTCTATTTTAAAATACAGTGTGATAGTAATAACTGAATTCAAAGTAGTTTTTGATATGCTGAACATGTGGAAATATTAAAATACAGTTTATATTATTAATAATATTAATATAGTTTTAATATACTTTATTATCATTTTATGATAAATAAAATACTATTATCTTTATTTGAAATATTATTGAACATACAAACACTGTCTGGTATGTAATGAAGAGCTCGACCAGCAATGTGGTGGCTGGGTTTGAGCATACATGACTACACTATTGATTTAATTCTGATAATTTCTGAGTTTAGCTGAGTCCGCCAAAAAGTAAATGCCGACCAATCTCCACACTTATTATTATTAAATGGCACTACATCCCAATTATTTGAGACTTGGCCTGCTCCAGCATGGATCTCCAGTTCTCCAGGTTAGTTGCTGCAGCCTTTCAATTTCTGACACCAAGTAGTCTACATGCATCAGCAGCCACACAGTCTAGCCAGCGCAAACATGGTCTTCCCACTCGTCTGTTTCCAAACACAGGCTCATTCATAGCTCTCTGTGGGGGTGCATTCATATCCATCCGCGTGACATGTCCCGCCCAGCATAGTCTCGCCTGTACGATGAATTGGCTCACATCCAGATCATTAAACAATGTCTTTATTTCCAAATTCGTTCTCCTCCTCCAATTCTGTGGTGTTTTCTGGACCCCTCCAAATATGTATCGTATAATCCTCCTTTCAAATCTGAGCAGGGATTTCTCAACTGCTTTAGTTAAGGTCCAACTCTCACAGCCATATGTGAGCACTGGTCTAATAAGAGTTTTATATATTCTTATTTTGGCCTGTCTTGACAACATTCTACTGCGATTATGTCACTGGAGGGAGAAATAGCACCGATTAGCCACTTCAATCCTCCTGTTTATCTCACAATCAATGTTATTTCGTGCATTTATCAATGAACCAAGATATACTAATTCGTCAACATTCTCGATTCCACGCTGTTCCAGCCATGCTTGGTTTTCCCTTGTTAGACGTGAGGATAGGGTGGACATATATTTTGTTTTGGACGCGTTGATAATAAGACCGATTTTGGCTGCCGACTCTTCCAAACTTGTAAAAGCTTCCTGTACTGCCGCAAACGATCTTCCCATTATATTAATGTCGTCCGCATATCCAAGTATTTGGGTCATTTGATTTAGGAGGGGTCCTGCAGTCTGGATACCAGAATCCCTTATGACTTTTTCAAGGGTAAAGTTGAATACCAGACATGCCAGAGCGTCTCCCTGCCTTACACCTGTCGATGTTCTAAACCCCTTTGACAAGTCACCTTGTACTCATACGAAACACTCATTACCCTCCATTGTCATTCTAACAAGCCTTACAAGTTTTTTAGGTACATTCATTTCTACCATTGCTTTGTATGCTTCCTCACGATTTATGGAATCATAGGCTTGCTTGAAATCAATGAAGATGTGATGTGTACCAATTTGATATTCTTTGGTTTTCTCCAGAAGGATTCGCAAGGTGAATATTTGATCGATGGTTGATTTACCCTTAATAAATCCGGCTTGGTATTTTCCGATTTCAACCTCGGCATAAGAAATGATTCTTCTATAAAGAATCCTTGAAAAGATTTTATAGGCGGTGGGTAGAAGGCATATGCCCCTGTAATTATTACATTGATAGACGTCCCCTTTTTTATACACTGGGCATATAATGGATTTTTTCCAATCACTTGGAAGCTGGATAAATTGATCCAATCACTTGGATCAACCCAAACGGCATGAAACATTTCCTAAAGGAGTTTTATGAGCTCTTGACTACCATGTTTATAGAACTCTGCAGGGATGTTATCAATGTCTGGGGCTCTATTGCTTTTTAGTCCTTCTATGGCTTCATTGATTTCTTCCTCGTCTGGGGGTTCTACCTCTTCACCACCTGTAATTGGATCATTTGCCTCTGAGACATTTGTGCCATTTCTGTTAAGAAGAGTTGAAAAGTATTCAGCCCATCTGTCCGAAATGCCTTGTTTGTCAGTTACTAAGGAGCTATCGTTTGCTCTGCATCCTTTGGTACGGGCAATAAAGGGCTTTCTTCCTTTATTAATAACCTGGAAGAATTCTCTAGTATTTTTGGAGATGAAGGCCTCTTCTATCTCCTGTAGACTCTTATTCTCCCATCGTCTTTTCTTCCTCCTATGGATATGCCTCTCACGCCTTCTCGTTGCTCTGTATTCCTCGACAGAGCTTCGTGTGTGCTTCCTTTGCATCATTTTATTGTATGCAATGTTTTTTCTCTTGGTCACTGCACCACATTCGTCATCGAACCACGGGTTATATATCTGCTTGGTTTTATCTCCTACAACCTCGTTCGCTACTTCCATAAGTGCAGTGCGGCATGAGTTCCATTGTGGCTCGAGATTTGATTCTGGGACAGAGTTCCTTAATCTGATGTCCAGTTGGTATGAGAATCTAATGCTTGTATCACTGTCCTTAAACTTTTCAATATTTTACATCTTCAGAGAACTGAGTCGAGGCTGGTACTTCACTGTTGATATCTGATACCTTATTTTTGCAACTATAATGTAGTGGTCCGAGTCAATCTCCACACTTACTGAGTCAATTTAACCTTAACAATAACGTTATGTTTAAATGTCAAATATTGAAACAGTTTGATCGAATTGAGCACAATTTTCACAACCAACTACACAATGATCAAAATCCCATGAATACTTTATGACTAATGAGCACATTAATAACCAATAACTTTATTTAAAAGACTATGGATTAAAAATTGGGCATTCAAAATTGTGGATGGGTCATTTTAGATATTTGGTAATATATAAAATAAAAAGGACCCTTGGGATTTGATTATCTCTTGAGTGAGTGTAGGAGTAAGTGGAATCCCATGAAATAATTAATCATGAAATAATTAAAGCTTTAAGCATTTTAATAATCAGAGACTGCTAGTTTAATCAACAAGCCATTACCATTAGTTTGATACTAGTTTTGTTTTTGATAAAGTAGTTTGTATTTTTTTCAAGACATGTCTTTTGTGATTATTTATTGTTGCCAAATAAATTTCCATCAATAAACTTTTTGTTAGAAAAATTTGGAATTCCATCTACAGTGTGATCAGATGAGGTATAACCCAGCCTTCATATTTTTGGCTACGTTTTCCATTTGTGCTCATAGCATTTTTTTCTAATGCAAAATCTTTATTAGTTGTTGATTATTTTTATTATACATTATTTAAATCTATTTATCTGTTGATGTCATCGACCTATTCTTGAACTGGTCAACTAGCATTTTATTTTTTTTTTAAATGCTATTTTCTAATTATATAGCAAAACATACTTTTTCATGCAGCTATACCCGCTGGGATCCTTCAGACACCATTTTACTATTTGGGGTTAGAGTAAGTAGTAATAATCATAATAGTAGTCAATTATTTAAAGAAATCAATAATAAAAATTAATTATTTTATTAATTTTTTCAACTTCTTAAAGGTAAAGTTACAGTATTTTTTTTTTATAGAACCATGAAATATAGAACAATTAAATTTATTGTAATAAAAAAATTATTATTATTTCATTCAAATGAATATTAATTTTATCAATTATATAATATTTATTAGGGCACTAAACTATGGAGCAATAGGGTCTATACTTGGACATGAATTGACTCATGCGTTCGATATTGAAGGTAACACTGTTGTTTAAAATCAAGCACATAGTCTATTTTTAGTTTTTCTTGTTAGCTGTACATCACAAGTCTCAATTATTTACTCTATAGATTTTTTTTTTTTTTAATAGGGAAGGAATATGATGGAGAAGGAAGAAAAATATCTTGGTGGAGTGATGAAATGACTAAACAGTATAATGACAGAGCTCAATGTTTTGTTAAACAATATGACAAATTTGCTTTTAATAAGATAAATACAGTAAGTTTATTGAATTAATACAGTACAATTCCATAATAAGTCCAAGTGTCCTTAGTGTTATTCTGCCAATTAGAGCTCTTCAAACAACTGAGATTATTAATAAAATAAAAATTATCATCTTATAATATGTATGAATACAAAATTAAGTAGTAAATAAAAATAATTATTCAGTAAAAAGTATTTTATAAAATTTGAGTTGAACATTTCAATATAGTTTATGTGTTAAATCACACAAATATTAAAACTTTTGTAAATATATTTCTTCAATATTACTGGAAAGATTAAAACTATTTTGTAAAAAAATATAGTTGTTCCAATAACACTTTAAAGTAAATTTTTAGGTAAATATCTATGATTAAAAAAAATATAATACTAAACAAATACTATAAGAGATCCTGTAGATCCATAGCTTTACAGGCATTAAGAAACACGAGGACTGCTATAATTAGTTCCAACTAATAAAGAAATATGAAATATTAAAAAATATTACCTCTATGCTTCTGATATTGGCGGATCTATGGGGGGTGAGAGGAGAGAAGGTTTGGGCTGAAGCTTCCCAAAATGGAAAGATTATACAGTTTCTTTTAATTGGTCCATATTTGTTTTGTGCGTGATCTAAGCTAAATACTTAAACAATCACAAAAGATATTTTTAAATTATAATAGATATCTCTAAAAACATTAATTACCTTTTTTTTATTTCGGCCTTCAAGGACCACTTAAACATCGTTTCACATAGGTTTTTTTTTCTTATTCTTCCTGAGTAACTACAGTTATTAAAATAAGAAAGAAAAAAAATCATCTCCAAAAAATTAAATCACTAAATTAATGTTGTTAACAACAGTAATCCAAGATTTTTTTTTTTGTCTTACAGGCAATATGGGTAATAACAGCAGTGGGGTATTATGCATGGTATATGTGTATGCCACTGCTGGCAGTACAGTACCTCTTTTCTTAAAATTTGTCTAACATTTATTATTTATATTAGTTATGGTGAAAACAGAGGTGTAGACTTGTTTATGTGCACAAGCCCACACCTTTCTTTTTCTTCATTCTTCCTCCTTCTTCCACCTGAAACCGGTCCTCGAAACAGCTGCAGTTTGTCCTAAGTTCCTTCTCTTCTTCCCAAATTAAAATGTGTGGAGCATACAGCATCTTTCCACTTGTATACGAATTCTCTATATTGTGGGTAATTCTCTCGGCTCATTAACTGGGGATAACATGATCTCTGTCAGCGTATATATCCCCGTCTCCCTCAGGAGCTTAGCTCTTAGTGCCTCATAGGCAGTGCATTCAACTACCACATGGTCGGCGGTCTCCGGAACGTTGCAGATGTGGCATAGCAGATCAATATTCTTCCCTTGTTTAACGAGCTTCGCTCGAAAGCTCTCATTTCCTGTTAGGAGTTGAGACACCCAGTAATCCGGGAGGATCTATCTTGCATCTAATCATGACTTGACTGTAGGGAAATACTTTCTTAGGGTAGCCCACTTCGGAGTTGCCATCCATCGCCGGTTCCATTCATCAACTGTGTCCTCCCTGATAATTATTTTCCAACTTCATCTTCCATCTTCATCAATTCTCTTCTTTAGATGTTCCGGTAGATCCGCCGAACCTTCTCTTTTGATTCTAAAGAAGTAATAGTCTTCTCGCAGGAGGTGATCAAGAGGTGTTCCCCCTGCTAGTACTTGCACTGCCTCATGAGACACCGTTCCATAGGCTCTAGTGACCCGAAGTAAAGCCAATCTCTGAATCAAGATTCCTTAGAAGATCGATATTGACCTCTTACTAAATCTGTAAAATGTATATCAACATCTCAATTATATAAATTGATTCTTATGGTCTTAGATGATCAACTAAATGTTCCTATTTTCTAATGCGATCTGCAAATTTCTTTTGTATGTCCAATTTTATGTTTTGTATTAATAAATAAAATATTCTAATGATTTTTCTAATATTTACATTTATATGAAAATAATTCAAGTATTAGCAGGTTTAATTTTTTTTTCAGAAATTTTAAGTTATTGCCTTAAATTGGTATTAATGTCCTCTTTGTCTTATGGCATAAGAATTTTCATTTGCCAGATTATGTCTATTTTTGAAATTTAATACACCATTCTTGATTAATGTTAATTCTTCTGAAATAACATTATCATATTGTCGAGGGGCTTTCTTGAATCTGAAACCACTTCAATATTACATCCATTCATTATTAAGATAATATCAACAGCAATAAAAGACAATAATAGCTCATTATTATTGCTTATCATTTCTATTAATATTACTTCTTAAGGAGTGATTTGAGGAGGAAGCAGTCCAGATTGCTTGTTGCAGTAATGGTAAAGGAATATATGTGTTGCATTGAAGTTTTATCTAACTATTTTATTTAAAATATTTAGCTGAAGTATTTTTCTTGTTTTATTTACCTGAATCACAAAATAAACTTAAAAAATTTCAAAAGATAACATTGAAATTTTCAAGACAGCTTATTCATAAAATCAATTCTTTAGGTAAATGGAACACTTACATTAGCTGAGAACATAGCCGATAATGGTGGAGTGAGGGAAGCCCTCCACGCATATAGACATTACGTGAAACGAAATGGAGAAGAACCATATTTGCCAGGTTTAGAACATTATACACATGAACAACTTTTCTTCCTTGCATTTGCAAATGTAAACCATTCATTAATACTATTTTCTGGTAAACTAAATGTAACAATAGAAAATATAATTACTCATATTTATTTTAGGTTTGGTGTGAAAAAACTACTGAGTCTGATGAAATAATGTCTTTAGGGGATGTACACAGCCCTAACAAGTTCAGAGTACTCGGAACATTGGGTAATTCACCTGAATTTGCTGATGCATGGAACTGTCCCAGAAAAACGAAAATGAACCCAGAAAACAAATGCATTCTATGGTGAAAAAGTAGGTTTTGTTGTCAGTGCCTGTGATATCCCTGTTAAGCTGATTTGAGCCCTTAGAAAAAACAAAACCCAAATCTTATTGTGTAAAGTTTTATTATTAGGTATCTATTTATCATTTTAATGTATGTGGGTCCAATGAATTGTAAAAAAAAAAAAAAAAGAAAAAAAAGGAAAAAATCCTTAAATTTATTGATAACTGTTGACCTCATCTGTGCCTTTTCACCTTAGATTTAAAAATATTTGACATTATTTTTATAATTTATCACATTTATAAAGTTTTCCATACTGTAATTGTAATATTAATAAAATAACATTTATAACCCTTATGTATTAATACATAATCTCTATGTTATAATTGACTGTGAATATAGTTGTTAAATAAAAACTACATAATTATGCATTAAGATTTGCTGTTTTTCATTGTAGTATTCATTGTAAATTAGTATGAAATTGATCAACAATGTTGGTACTTTTAGATCACATCACTTCCTTTTAAAGTAACAAATATGAAAAATCTCATTTTTAGAATAAACTACTTTTATTATTTTAGCAGAAGCATTTGAGAAAATAAAATATCGTAAACACACCCAGAGAAGTAAAAACGGTGCTTGATAAAAAAAAATTATAATGGGAAAGTAAAAAGTGAATAAATACTGTCTACTATTCTTCTCAGTATTTATTTGTTATTTTGGCTTTGCTTAGCCCTCATGAAAGCTTGAAACTTAGGTGGAAACATCCTACTGTGGCACAAAAGCCCTTATTTTCAGAAAAAAATTCACCCACCTTAGACATACTTCTTTAAAGCTCAAATTAAGGTCATTAAATATGAATTTTCTTATTCCAAATTGAATGAAATAAAAAGTAAATCGATAGTTGTACGCATTTTTGTTATTTTGAGAGTATTGATTTATTTAAGAATTGTATTAAGATTCTTGGAAAGATTGGGTATTGGAAAAAATATGTGGACATATATCAACAGATTTTTTACTGACACTATATATTATGTATGAGTAGGAAACACTTTCTCTTTGAGTCATTCCTTAAAAAATGGTACTCCACAAGGTTCACCCCTCAATACAACACTGTTCTTCATAGCAATAAATGGAATCACATCCTCTATTCAGATTCACATTACATATATTATATTATGTTTATATTTTATAAAATAATGGTTAAATATTTTATTTACTGCCATACAAAGGAAATAGATTGATTATTTTCTGAGTTTATAGGTATTTAAATCAATGATAAGATTATAGAAATATATTTTAAAAAAATAATAATCAAAGCAAAGAAATTATCTCACAAGTGCAATAATTTTTCATATTTTATTAATATTTTTAGTTTCACTATACACATAATATTATAAAAATATATAATACAAAACAGCTTTATAATTGTAGAAGTAGAATTTGAAAGTTTAATGAAGGGTAAAGAAATATTTGTTTACTTTCCATGGAGAGATGAATTTTAAAAAATTTCGATAGCAAACACATTTATATAGTTTACAAGTTAGTTTTAATCATTCTCAGGTTTTTGTCTGAAACAATTTAAAATCATTATCAAAGGCTATTTAAAAATGATAAAACTTAAATATTGAACCATAAAACTTAATTTAAATAGTTGGAGAGCTATTTGTTGCACCATAATTCAACTGCCAATCAAGAAAAAGGAATGTACAGGTGCTGAAAGAAGAGTATGAATAAACCTCAAGAGATAAACCACTGCAATAAAAAGTGATCAGTAAAGCATCTAATTTGGAATGATTGATCAATTATTTGATTTTATTACATACAAAATGTCTCTCAAGCAATCTTTCATAAATTGTAATTCAGTTTCTAATAAATGGATCCTTATGAAGAAGGTGTATATGTCACGGCTTTCCTAAAATGGTAACAGCATTGCCAAATGCTAAAGAATATATAAAAACAAAAACAACTACGGTGTGTACTTCAGAGCACACGATAGAAGTGAAAATATCAAAAAGCCGATATTAATAATATCAAATGTATTTTTTTTTTTGCTCTTTATTCACGTGGCAATACCATTTACAATGTATACAATTATAGTTGTGTATATAAAGTATTTTTTGTTTTGTATTTATATAGTAATAACATTTACAATGTATAGAATTGTAATTTTGTATAACTTACCCTAGTAAACTTTGATCTGACTGATCGTCATTTGTATTATACACACTAACTCAGCGATTTATAGATTTATTGTTCATTATATAAAGGATGAAATGCTGAAAATTTCCCTCGCTTACCTTATGCAAGTCCGAATTTTAGTTTTTGAGATATTTTAATCCAAATTCAAAAACACTTCAATTAGCCGACTTTATCTGAATGAGCGTTACATACCCGAGAGTGATGACTCAGTCTCATTAACTACTCAAAATGAAAGTGCAAAGCGCGCCTAAAGAAGTTTTCACTGCAAAAAGTTAAAATGATACAAAATTCCAATTGTTTTTTCCAATAGGTAACTTTTATATATTAGGAAAACAAATAAATGGCTATTGAATTTAATAACATATAATATGTTAATGCGAAACTATTGAGGTACTACCTCTGAGTCATTTGTTTGGGACTGCGCAGATTGAACATTATATCTATTATTGGTTCAGACTCCTTCTCCACAAAGAAAAAAAAAAAAAAGAAAAATACTTTTCCTATTCATTCCAGTAGAACATTTATAATTCAAGAATTGAAATCAAAACTAATTTGTTTTTCTGCCGTGCCTTTATATTTAATGTTTTCTTGAATTTCTTTTACTTGTAATGGATTAATTACAATATTAAAATTTTAACACAATAATGTTCATACAAATAAAAATATTTCATTCATTCTTGATATAGTAAATTAATGGTTTCATATTACAATACCGTAGGAAGAGATAACTGGGACACTTTTCAAAGTTGTAAGCTGCTTCTATCTTTATTTTCAAAGTTACAATGATGAAAAAAATTATTATTATGTAAAGTCAGTCTTCCTCTTGCAAAATATTGCAGGATAATAAGTCTAAAAGCAAGACTATTTCACTAAAACAATTTTTAATTTATCCTAATCTTACCCCTTTGATAGGGGTAAAATATGGACAGTGCATTATTTCCATTAGAAACACCAGGAAACATTATTTTGTACCAATGTTACCCTACAATGTGGTATAGGCTCATTATTTACATAAGAAACAACTAGGAAAAGGAGTGTATACCAATTCCATCTGACTATACTATATTTAAGTATATGTCATGGCTTTTCTAAAATGGTAACAGCATTGCCAAAATTCTAAAAATTCTTTTCTAAAATGATACAAAAATCCAATTGTTTGTTCCAATAGGTATCTTTTATATATTAAGAAAACAAATAACTGGCTATTGAATTTAATAACATATAATATGTTAATGCGAAACTATTGGGCTACTACCTCTGTGTAATTTGTTTGGAACTGTGCAGATTGAACATTATATCTATTATTGGTTCAGACTCATTCTCCACAAAGGAAAAATACTTTTCCTATTTATTTATCTATCTATTTAGAAGTAATATAATAGGTAAGAACGATGATGAAGTTGTAAATCAAAATTTTCAAACACCAAAAAAATTGGTAAGGTTGACCGTGATTCACACGGCCTATGCCTGGGTTTATATATTCCATCCTTGTCAAGGGGAGTGCTAAACTTCTCTCCTTTTTTACTACACAATTAAGTTAGGATTTGAAGTTGTATATATAGCAGTTAAATATAGTAATTAAACCTGCTGAGAGGTATTTTTCATATGAGCTATTACGGCAGATTTGAGTGACAGTTTATGTTTCAATATTTTTTTCCAAACAAAGTTTAACTTAAATTTTATTCGGTAGCATGCTTGGTTGGTCAATAAATTGTTATTTTAATACAAAAAACAGAATATGCTAACTTTTAGTAATTTCCATTATGGTAGAGTAGCGCTTCTAGCGGGTAATACTAGAACTTTTTCGGCACCAAGCCTGGACAGAAGAAATATTACTGCAAGTTCAGACAACACAATTAAATTTGTATTTGTTTCTTTTTAAAATTTGTTCAAACATAAACATTTTATGTAACTCCTATGGATATTTATTTTATATATATTAATAAATAAACCTTTTTCAACTAATAAATAATAAATTTAGTAGTTACTTCAAATTAACTAATTTTTTTTTAAAGAATGCCCAGAGATGTCACAATTGTAAATTAAAATCAGTCTTTGGTTAATTAACCAATTTTTGAAATTTGTGAATTTAAAAATAATACTATTTTACACTTGTAAAATAAAAAAAAAAAATGTTCATAGATATTTTGCTGTGCTAACATTGGCAAAACATTTTGCTCTCTTGTAGTTTTGTGTATTTAAAAAAATATATCATTGTAAATTAATTTTACTCTTTCAATATAGTATCTGCTGAAATATATTATTTATCCATTAAAATTTTATAAATTTCTTCCAGTGGAACATTTATAATTCAAGAATTTAAATCAAAACTAATTTGTTTTTCTGCCGTGCCTTTATATTTAATGTTTGCTTGAATTTCTTTCACTTATAATGGATTAATTACAATATTAAAATTTTAACACAATAATGTTCATACAAATAAAAATCCTTCATTCATTCTTGATATAGTAAATTAATGGTTTCATATTACAATACCGTAGGAAGGGATAACTTTGGGACACTTTTCAAAGTTGTAAGCTGCTTCTATCTTTATTTTCAAAGCTATATTGCTGAAAAAAATTATTATTATGTAAGGTCAGGCTTCCTCTTGCAAAATATGGCAGAACAATAAATCTAAAAGCAAGACTATTTCACTAAATTTTTTTAAAAATTTATCCTAATCTTATCCCATTGATTGGGGTAAAATTGGGACAGTGCATTATTTCCATTAGAAACACCAGGAAACATGATTTTGTACCAATTTTACTCTACATTGTGGTATAGGCTCATTATTTACATAAGAAACAACTAGGAAAAGGAGTGTATACCAATTCCATCTGACAATACTATATTCAAGTATATGTCATGGCTTTTCTAAAATGGTAACAGCATTGCCAAACACTAAAGAATATAAAAAAAAAAAACTAAAAAAAACAACTGCGATGTGTACTTCAGAGCACACGATAGAAGTGAAAATATTAAAAAGGCGATATTAATAAGTGCAAAGTGGGCCTAAAGAAGTTTTCACTTCAAAAAGTTAAAATGATACAAAATTCCAATTGTTTGTCACAATAGGTAACTTTTATATATTAAGAAAACAAATAAATGGCTATTGAATTTAATAACATATAATATGTTAATGCGAAACTATTGGGGTACTACCTTTGAGTCATTTTTTTGGAACTGCGCAGATAGTACATTATATCTTTTATTGGTTCAGACTCATTCTCCACAAAGCAAAAAAAAAAAGGAAAAATACTTTTCCTATTTGTTTATCTATCTATTTAGAAGTAATATATTAGGTAGGAACGATGATGAAGTTGTAAATCAAAATTTACAAATACAAAAAAATGGTAGGGTTGACTGTGTTACACACGGCCAAAAAGGAAAAATACTTTTCCTATTTATTTATCTATCTATTTAGAAGTAATATATTGAACTGAATATGGGTTGTAAAATGATAATCTTATTTTTTTAAATTAATTTATTTAATTAATTATTTTTATTTGGCCAATCCACAAATAATAATAATATGTTAATTATAAAATAACCACATTGAAAACTAAAAAAAGCTGAAATTATAACAAGGAAACTCATAAAATGAGGAACAATAATTTTCTGTTTTTTTTTTTTTTTTATTATTTTACTTTTTTAATGTCTTTACATAGAAACACAATAAGTGAATATCAATGATATTGGATAAAATAAGGTTATTATTACAAAAAAAAGTCTAATTATGGCTTGTTATTAAATCTATAATTATTTTCCTACCTTGGTGAATTAAAAATATACAACTAATATTTGATAGAAATGAAATTATCCATCTGAATGATAAAAGCTGAATTATAATCATACCAATGTAAGTTTTATCAATCATTTTCAAGTTTTAAATTAACAAAACTATTACAATATTCAAAGCTACACTTATTTAAGGTACCTCTCAAAAGCCAAAAAAATAAATAAATAATATGTTATCCTGCAGCTGAAACTAAGGGAAGCAAAGAGGGTATTTGCAACAAGCGGCAGAATTTAGGAGGCACCAAGTTTTGAACTAAATTTTATTTTTAGGCAAAGACAAATATTTGTTTTATATGTTATAACGTGATATCAAGTGAGAAATATATTAACTAAAATACTGTAATAAAACTGTTGGATTTTATTGATGAAGGCAGGGAAGGGATGGGAGAGGATGAAGGGGCAACAAAATTAAGCTTTCCCTTCCTTAAAAATCCTAGTTTCAGCCCTGAGTTACAAATTACCAGGGCATCAAAATCTCAAAGTTAAAAATACACTGACAGGCAAAAAATCCCATCCATTTGATTTTTTCATGTTTTCATCTAAAAATATTTCTGCTTTGGATTGGTCTATTGTTTTTAATGAATAAATAGGTAATCTTTTTGTTTGTTTTCAATTAGGAATGCTAATATAGAGGACAATAACCCTTAATCCTTAATTCAATGAAATGATTCTAGATTCCAATGTTTACTTTCTATGGAATCAAAATGTTTATTCAGTATCATTAGTTCAGTGCTGTTTCTTGCAGCACATTTCTTAGTCTCCGGCTTTTAATTTTTTCAATATTAAGTTTAAAAATGCCTCTTAGTGCTGAGGATGTTGCGCGTGGTGTGGCACTTATCGATGATGGACGTTCCAATAGATATGCAGCTAATGCCATCGGAGTTCCATATGAAACTTTACGATAAGCTGTCAGGCGTTTTCGGGAAACTGGTTCTTACAATAGAAGGCCCGGTTCTGGACGGCCTAGGGTAACAGAACCACGGGATGACCGGTTTTTGACTTTGAGAATTTTACGAAACCAGCACCTTACCGTTGTTCAAGCGATTCATGAGCTAGAAGAAGTTTGAGGTATGCAAATTTCTGAATATCATATAATTAATTTCTTTTAAAATAATAATGGTTCGTTTTATAATCTTGGAAATATTGGAATCTAGAATCATTCATTGAATTAAGGATTAAGAGTTATTGTCCTCTACATTAACATTCCTAATTGAAAACAAACAAAAAGATTACCTATTTATTCATTAAAAACAATAGACCAATTCAAAGCAGAAATATTTTTAGATGAAAAAATCAAGTGGGTGGAATTTTTTGCCTGTCAGTGTATATATTAATGTTTATTATAACTATTCAGCTGTGGTTTTACTTGACTTAAATTTTTAATATTATTTTATAGGATGTTGCTTATTTTGTAAGCAATTAATCTATGTATATGAAATAGCCTCTCAATGCATTTTTTAAATCTATAGCAAATATTAGTATGTATTAATTTATCATCAAAAGAATATTACTATTGTGAAACACTGAGAAGTAAAAAATGAGGACATTTTTTTTCAATATCACAAAATATTCTACTTTCAGATTTATTATGAAGTTCTCTTGATAAAATTCCTACTTGTCATCCATGAAATGAGTTTTCAAGATGAATAAAAGAGATGCAACATTTTACAAGAATCATTTCCAGAACGAAGAGTTATTTTGGTGGTCTAATAAAAAAAAAATTCCTCAAGAATTTATTTGAAACCTTATTGGACCGTCAATAGGTCAAGCGAAAACAGTATTAAATGCAAGATCAGGAAATTTATCTTTGTAATCATCCTAATATTTCTTGTTTTTTTCATTTTCACTTATTTTATTTTTTTATTTTTTATTTGTTTAATATGGCCATTATTTACTTTGATAGCCTGAGAAGATTTTAGTTGTATATAATTAGTAGATGGAAACTAATAGTACAAAAATAAGATGAGCCACTTCATTTTGCTTCTCAGTGATTAAGGCCTTCATTACTTATTAGTAAAAGCAATAGATTTATTACTCTTTGGTTTTTTTCCCTAACGAAATAAATTCTAAGAATAATTCTGTACAGCATTGAATAAGTGGTAAACCAGTAGTTAACAGGACTGGATTGTAAAACAAATTTTGTATTCTCTATAATAGCAAAGCTAAAAATAATAGTAGAGATAAAACTAACTGTTAAACTGCTCCCTTGAAAAGTTAAGATTTTTTTATTTACTACTTATTCACTACAGAATTACAAATTTATTTAAAAAAAAGGTATATATATTTTTTTAAGTAAATGGATTTTATTTGTTATAAGTATTTACACCATTTCTACAAATTAATTATTTATAATTTAACCACTTTGAAAATTATAAATTTAGTACAGAATAATTTTTAATTTAAAGTTTAACCAAATTATCACAGTTGTTTAGTAAAAATATATTTAATATGAACTGGAATTTTTAGAAGTTTTAAAGTGCAAAATGTTTGACCACAATGCCAATAAATAACCAATAATCGATATTAATGTTATCGGTGAATGAAGAATGATCTGAAACAACAGATAAAATTAATAAATTGTTGTTTATTAATAAGCTATGTGTTGTATTAAAAAAATATATATCCATCACCTCTTGGGAGTTGAGAAATTATTGGCACACTGGCTGAAGATAGATGATAAAAACCTCCTACATAGCCATCACATCGCAACCATATTGGGGATATGTGCTCACAGTCCACATCTAAAAATGGTAGTAATACAGAGCTATTGAGAATTGCTTTTCCATTCCCAACATTTTTAATCATTGAACGGTCTATCTGAAATTTATAATTTTTGTAGTCATAAATAAAATATTTAAACATTATATCCTTCAAGATCTTAATTCATTAAACATTTTTTCAGGGGGTTGTTAATAATTATTTAATAGTCATTAATTTTTCAAAAGAAATATATTATTGATTTGATTTTTCTGCTTCTACAAATGAATACGGAAATTACAGATTTATTTGTCTCACATATAATTGTAAATAAGATAAATACTTCAATATTGGAGAAGAAACTTAGAGTAATGGTGGAGTAGCATTTGGAAGAAGAGCTTCCAAATTGCTTTCAGGTAGGGCTATGAAGGCCCTAACTCAGGACCGATATATAATGTATTCCCAACGGTATAAACTATTTATATATTTCCGCTATTTTAAGTTACTTTATAACTGTCATCCCAGACCATCTTTTTCCTCATTATGCAAACATTCAACAATTATTTATCCAATAATATATATATATTATTGTAATTTAATTTTATTCTAACAATATGCTCAAGAATCATTCATTCTCTATGAAATAATTGTTATGATGAAGACCAAGATTAAAAAGTTTATTTTGCAGATGATTGTCTTAAATTCATTAATAACATTTTTCAAATTTGCCTAAATCTTCAAAATTACCTAATTTGAATCATGTTTTAGATTACATTGCTAGAACATTAATATATAAATGAAATATTTTAACTATAATCGTATTTTATGATTTAATATTTTTATTATAAATACTTTTTCATGTAAAATTGTTAATTAAGATTATGTATAAATAATACCTTAACATTATCAACATAGAAATTGATCAATGGTGGTGGATCAGTTTCTTCAGCTGAGCAAGTTATTTTTAATTCTTCTAAAGGAAATAATTTATTGCTTGAAACATTTAAATATGGCTTTCTAATACGAATATCTGCAAAATAGCATTTTAGTTAGTTCAGTATAATAAAAATTAGATGATCAGGACAATAAATTTATTAAGTTTTTTTTTTTATTGCAAACATTTCAATCCAAATCTGTGTGTCATCAGGTCCTTTTTATAGTACAGAAGATGTTCAGGTTGAACATATATTGTGCAGAAAACATGACCTGATGATCCACAAGTTTGGATTGAAGCAAAAGTAATAAAACAAAAATCCAAAAATTTAGTGAGACCTGATTACCTATCAACCATGATATGTAGATCAGTTTCCATAAAAAAATTAGATGGCATTTAGCAGAAGAGAATAAATCCAAGAAATATTTCTAAATGGATCAGAGGCGGTTTTGAATGATACTAGTGCTTACTATTTTCAAGAGAAGAGAGCAATCTCTTGGTTCAGGTATTAACTTCAATTAAAAATGGAATTAAAAAAAATATTGGAAATATAATTTTTCTCTTTACTGTATAAAAATAAGAATCAAACCACAATTAAGTTAATTTTTTATCACCATCTAATGGTCCAATGGCAACAGTTGGGGTTGTATAAAATATAAAATTAAATTAAGTTTGAAACAAAAAATAAAACATACTTTTTTTTGTGAGCTTTCAGATTTCTAAATTCATTTAAATTTGTCTTTAGCTATCTCAAAATATGTGAATTTTAGATTGATTCTCTACTGTTAAATGCTGTACAATTGATACTTGATCAAATTATCTCATACCTTTAATAGTCAAGTTCGCTGAATCAGTGGCTGTTTTAAATGTTTCATCAACTGAAACTTCACAACTGATTTTCCCACTGATATATGTTGGCACATTTATTAATCTAACTTGATTTGCGTTTGAATGAGACATCTGAAATAATATATATAAATTATATATATAATAATAAAATAAAATAAAATAATATATATATATATATATATATATTATATATATATATATATATATATATATATATATATATATATATATATATATATATATTTCTAATGAAAATCTAAATTTATCTTTAGTATTGTTATTGTTGCACTGTTAATTAATGTTTATTATTAGATTTGTAGTTCAGCTTCCTCACAGGCCAGTATTGGATCATCATTCATTATTGGTCAAGCAGACCAGAGTGCTACTCTTAAAATTGACTACCACGACTTTTCTTATCACTCTTAATAACAATATTATTTCTTCTGCAATATCGTTATAAGAATAAATTCATACTATGGACAAAAAGGTAATAACTAAATTATATATGGTTCAATATCTTGTATCCACCAGACGAGAGACTTACTTGACAAACCATCATAGAATAATTAAAAAACAGATAAAATAATTTACTACAGATAAATGAATTTTATTTCATTAATAGAAAAACATTTTTTTTTAACTTGAAGCTAACGCTTGGTTTAGTTTTGTCTCCCGCTTATCTGTTTTCAGTGCTGTTATTTTGAAGTTCCTGACATCAACAGAACTTTAGTATAAAGAATAAAATGTTTTCAACTAAGACTTGTATATTTAACTCTCTAGCTGCTTGTTCTATAAGGATTTTATGGTGCATCAAACCCCTAAAGCTTAATTCTGTCACTCTTAATAATTAGGCTTATTAGCCTATTATATAAAAAAAGTATAGATAAAATACTCAAGGGAATTTGACAAACATTAAATTTCGAATGAAATAATTCACTAAGATTCTACTTTCAATTTCTGAAACAATTGTATCTATTCATCGTCATCTCAATCTTCATCTGCAAATAATTTAATTCTCTATGCACCAACATCAAAGAATTTTATCAGTAAATATTATAACTTTAATTAATTTAATCATTTATTAGAAAAAAAATCCCAAAAACCTAATTTCCGCATTTAATTAATATTAAAAAATAAATAATTTTTTCACTACTTGGTAAAAATTTGATTTTAACATTAAAAATAATTGTGTTAACTACATCTTTTATATTTATTTTTATTATTCACATTTGCATTGAAGTTTTAAGGATCTTGTATATTGCTATTTTTCCACTTCATAGACTTTCATTTTATATTTTATAGTTTCCATATAAACATTTTGTAAAATTAAATTTTCTAATTTAATAAGAACATACTTTTTAATTGTCACTCCAATGTCAAACTTTTGAATTATTATTTTAATGTCTCATAACATTTTTTTATATTCCATTAATTTTTTGGTTCAAATACAGAATATATTATATTACGTTAAAATTATCTATAAAGTAGTTGCTCACAGTAATAAACAAACAGATGTTGGCCAGAGAGAAAGGCAAAATGAAACACAATAGCTATGTTTTATTTAATGCTTTTTTACATTTCAACCCGCTTTGTAGACTTCCTTTGGAGTTAGAAACTTTATTTACTATTTTTTATATTAAAATTATATGATTTAATGAATAAATCATAGATTGGGACTTGAAAAAGGATAAATTGGTTCAAAACTTTGCTCTTGTGTATTAATAAATAAGGCAGTTTGAAGGGTAAAATATTCTTTGAAAGTTGAATAATACAATATAATCTGTTGGAATACAACACAATTTTTGCTTTACCATTTGTTTTATGTTACAGGGAATCCACTTACAGCATTAAAAAAAGGGAAGAAACTCCTCAAGGATTAATGTACTCACACATATTTAATAAATGGTCTGTTTAGGGATAAAAGTTTAAAAAAATATTGAAGTATTTCCCATATATGAAATTCTTAATGCATCCCTTAATGTTCTTAACTACGAAACTGATGAATAACAGGTGAAAATCAGTTCTAATTTGTACATTGATACATAAATAAAATCATTCCTGAACTTTAAATATTATTATTAAAATTTATAAGAAATAATGAAATGCCGCAACCAAATAAACACATTAGTTTAATTTTTAATAAAAATAAAAATTATGGAAGCAGGCATATCACATAAAAATAAACATTCAGCCTATTAGCATTGAAGTTACTACATTAATCAGTTTTATATCAGCACTATTAATCTTCAGAGCAAATGTGAAGTTATGCTTTTTCTTATTGTTGTTTTAACATTCTAATTACTTTTTTTAGAGCATTTAATTTTTATTTGATAAACATCTTGTACTTACATCAATATTTATTCCTCCTAGAGGGAATGCAGCTAATGGTGGTTGCGCTTGCGGGACGTATTGGAAGAACTCGTACTGCCCTCTATACCATTTGACAGAATACAATGGTTTTCCTTCAGTATCATAATGACAAGTCAAAGTAGGCGACGAACCTTCCCTCACCAACTTTGGAACTGTCAACCGAACTTTGACGCACCTAGATCCTTGAAACAGTATATAACTTTTTTAAACTGATTCTCTAATTCATAACCACACAGAACTTATGAAAACAAAATACCTATGAAACAAAATGTAATTAGGTATAGTAGAAGAAGATTCATTAAGGATCAAACTGAAGAGTAAGGGAACATGTTCTCTTATAGATCATCCTTTGTTGTTCCATTCCTTAGGAACAAGCCAAGCCAGGAACCATCTGGTGTAGCGTATCTAAAGTTAGACTGTTTCTGATTGTAGTCACCTGTTCACTGCTGGCAAACAATCAGGAGTGTAAATGAAACCCATGTCAGTGAGGAGTTGTGGCCCAGCTACTCAGGTCATTGTTTTGATTTATGAGAGCCATCCAATGATTTAAATTAGCATGGCTTATTTCGTTTGCAAGAGGTGCAATTTATTAGCTGAGGATCATTTTAGATCATGGTAGTATTTAGTAAGTGGTAGTATTTTCTATAGTACCAGTGAAATAATTATAAATAAGATTAATCATATATAAGAATAATTAAACATATATCAAAATTATTTTAGTAAGGGTATGAGATACTGAATATCCTCATCATATGATGTACATATTTATTGTTTTGATATTTCATGAATTAGTAAATAATATTTTTTTAAAATAAAAACCTACAAAAATCAATGAGCATGATGAATATCTTTGTCATAAGCAAATAGTCTTGAGTATACTTGGATAATTAAATTATTAATGATAGTGTCTAACTGTTATAAAATAGTTGCTTAAAAATATTAAAATAATTTTATTTATTTTTGTGATTTCAGTATTTTTATTTATTTACAAACAAAACAATCAGTTGTACATGCATTATTTGACCATTCTAATTTGTTTTATTATATTTTTTAAAAATAATTTTTAATAATATTAATTATTTGAATACTCTTTTCAAATGAAACTAATATAATAAAATTAGCTTAATTTTTAATTTTTTTTTATTTGTTTACTTAGCCTCTACCCCTAAGAGTCATTGGCTTAATGTTTCCATTTTATATTTGTTGATAAAAGTGAATATAAAATTATTCAATATTAATAGGAATTAATGTCAAATATAAGAATTTTCCTTTGTAACTAACACATTAATTAAAATTTTATAAATTATGAATACTTTTATTATAAATATCAAAATGGCCAATATATGATTAATAGAAAATAATGGATAAGCTACCAATGTAAATGTTTTGGATTAAAGATCCACACTAGCTACATCATGCAATTAAATTATTTAAAATTAAATATTTCTAATAATATTTAAGACTTTGTATAATTTTTATAAGAAACATTATATAATATAATTGGTGATTTCCTGAGAATTCTAAGAATGATATTTTTGGCAATCAGTTATTTTATAAAATAAGTTTGTTAATGATATCTGATATAGCAAGTCGAAGTATTTCTGCAGCAATACTAATTTTAAATAAATATTTTATTTCTTGAAATATTTATTCTTGACACACTTTATGCCATATTCTATTAGAAAATTAATATTTAATTTATTAGAAATGAAGTGGCATATGCTAGGGTGAGGAGAGGATGGCCCAATCTGGGCCCCACACTAAATGATTTTTTAATTGCATGGCAACGTGACACTGTTAAGAAATTACTAAAATTATTCTTTGATCAGATGATACATCTTTTGTGTCATTAGCGATAATGGTTAATTTAATTAATGCACTTTAATTGAAGAATAACAATTTTTTAACATTCCAAACCATAGAAAACATATTTTTTATTTCCTTGATCAGTTTTTAGGAATGTATCATATTACATTTATTTACAGTGATTAAATTATTTAAACGAATCTTACAAATAATAAACATGATATAAATAAATATGATGAAACAATACTTTTTAATATTAACCTTCTTTTTTTTCCCCAAAGGAGTTGTGCTCCTCTTACTAAGGAGGCAAAACCAGAAGGTATGTTTCTTTCCCCAGGGGGTCGCAAAAATGTATACTGAAAAATTAAATTCACTTTGGATCCTTAATGTTCTAGGCACATACAACTACAATTAAGTATAAATGTATATGGGTAGAATTATATTACTCATGATTTTATTATAACTGCTTTTTGATCATGAATCAATAAATATCATGAAAAACAAAATATTTAAAAAACTAATCAACTTTTTAAAAGATTTTTTTTTAATTGGAGATAATTACAATATCAGTAAATACGATATTAGATTGTTTGTTTATATATATTAAATATATATATATATATATATATATATATATATATATATATATATATATATATATATATATATATTAAATTGCTTCTTAGTATATATTTTAGATATATTTCTGTTCTTTTAAATTATGGGATGGTATAGTAAAAAAGGAATCTACTAAAATTGAAATTATAGCTTTGTTTGAAATATTAAAGAAAGAGACTTTTTTATATTCTACTATTTTAAAATATTTTACCCATTTTGAACCTAGTCCAATACTCTGTCAACATGATAAAAGTTTTTAGGATTGATAATCAAGCTTTATCCCTATTTCAGACTTGGCGAGCTTCCAGAAATGGATGAGACTGAATAATATCTTATTCTCGCCAGGTGTAATCGTCCAATCTTTTTTAGGTGCCCTAATTTATTTTTTGGTTTAAATATTGTCTAGTGACATTATTAATTTTATTTAAAAAAGAAAAATCTGTTCAAGTAAAATAAAGTTCACTACAAGGTTTAGGTTAAATATAATATTATACATTAAAATAACATAAAATCTAATAAAAGTTAAAAAATAATGTGATAAAGCATTATTAAGTGTCTACTTTTCTATTCCAATCTGTTATCACATACTTTTTTAGTTCATAAATATAAATGTTTCAAGAATGGAGATGTTAACATAGTATTAATAATAAAACGAAGAAACAAAAAAAAAAGTTTGTTTGATGGCCATAAATCTCTAATGAATGGCCATTCTTGTTATTTAACATTAAGGATTAATTGAGCATTGAGTTGAATAAATGTTTATTCTTCTGAAAGCTCAAATGGATATTTTAATAGCTGAAATATCTGAGTTAATTTAAAAAAAATTAATTTATATAACCATTGTGTTATTATACTTTACTTGAACGAGACTTAAGCAAGAATAGAGAAGAAAATTTCTAGATTTTCATTATTATTTGTTTATAATTACAGAAATTATCTCCAGGAGCATGAGAAAATATTAATTTCAATGAAATACCTACAGCCTAATATTAAGTGTAATTATCTTGAGGATTTGATGAGAAGTGATTTTATTTCACTAATTTGTTTACCCATTTTAATAAAAAATATTTAGTTACGTATTATGTTGTATCTTGTAGTAGTATAGAAACAATATTTTTATGAAGAATTGTGTTGGGCATTTTGTAATGCTGACCAGCAAAAATTCCCAACTACATAAATAAATAAAAGAAATAAATGAAAATAAAAAAATTGGGTCCTATTACAGGTTATTCATTATACATCGATAGCCTCTGACTATTTATTTTTTTGGTATGAATAATAGTTTTAATTTTAAGATACCAAGTTGAGAGCAATCATTTGATGATATCTTCAAAAATTATTTTTGTTTTAAATAACTTTTTTTTTTATTGTTTTAATGGAATTTACAACTGTATTACATAGAAAATACAATAAGTAAATGTGAAATTGGTAACATGAAGAGAAACTACCCATTGGTATAACTCAAATTTTTAAATAACTAAAGTCAATTTTCTCATTTTATTTTTAAAAATGCATAAATTAAATTTACTGATTAGCTAGAAAAATGTTAAAATAATTAAATATTCAAAAGACTCCTGAATTAAATTAAGGTAGAATAAAACTTTATTGACTGATAAGCTGTATTGACATTTACTTCTTTTTAAACCTAGCAGTATTTTTGTATTATTTTCTTTCACGTCCTCAGATCATATAATTTTCACGTAATATCTAATCTATTATATTACTTTATTTGTAAATAGTTAAATTAAAAATATAAATTCTTGTCTTTTTTTTAAATTTAATTTATGCAATGTTTCCACTTAGCTTCCTAAGTTTAATTATTTCAAAACTTAATTATAATTTTGTTTAAGTAGTATTAACATGATTATTAATAAAAATAATCCTAAATAAGAATTACAAATGAAGTGTTATATTTTAACATTGATTAGTTCAAGCACAACTTGGAACAAATGTTGTGATGATTCATGCCAATAGATTCTTACTGAATGGAGGAAAAGCGAAGCCAAATACTGCTACAAAAGTCTGCTACTAAGAGACAATAGAGGAATGAATGGAGTGATTTATCACATTTAGCTGGTGTTCTGCCAGGGACAAAGCTTCTCACAACAATGGCTTAAGTCCAAATTGTTCTCGTTTTCAATGGGTATTTCATTAATGAATTGTTCAAGCATGTGATAGGAATATTGTTAATAAAGACATAGTAAATTTGTATAACTGGGTAAAGTATTTCACTCATTTACTCTATGGGCTGACATTAGTTTGTTTTATAGAATATTAAATGTTGAATCACACCTATTCAATATAATTTTTTTTGATACCTTATGTAAGGTTAACATATTGCTGTATAATTGATTTGGTGTTTATTAATGAGCCTATTAAGATAAAAGTGGCTTGAGTTCATTTCTAAGACATTAATATTGTATGAAAATAAAAAAATAAAAATAGTGGGAGTATTAGGCTTATCTTTTAACAATATCTGCTTTAAAGTCAATTTATTTTTACATCAAAATTCTTCCCAGAGTTATACATAATATTAAAAAAAGTAATAATGTGACGTACCCAGTACATCTCAGCAACCAAATCTATTATTATTTGCGAGTCTTTGTCACTATCTAATTAATAGCATCAATTTAAACAAAAAAAAAAAAAAAAAAAAAAAAACCATAAACTAACTAGATTTTTCTAGGTATAATAAATGAATCTCAATTAACCAACAATCATCTTTTAAATTTTTTTAGGGCATTAAAGTATGTTGGACATTTTCGATATTGACATTTTTTGAAACTCAACATTTAAGTGGTAAGTAAACTAAGTGAGATCTTGAAAACTTCAACCATAATTTCTGTAAAAGTTCTACTAAGTACCATGCCAACAACACTGATTTCATATTATAAAAAAATTGTAATGAGATGCATATAGAAGGGAACAGCACTTCTACATGTTATTTAATATTCATGGTTCTCTTTCAAAGATGTAACTTAAGCAGAAAGACCAAGCAAAATGAAACTGTTTTGTTGACGAAATATGGTGTTCTTTCATAGATGCTTTTTAATAACTTTTTTTTCAGTATCTTACTTACTATACAAAATTGTATTTCTAAGTTCTGATTTTGAATTTTAACTAAAAATGTATTGTTGTGACTTAAATATATCGTCGATTCATAACAAAAAGTCATTAAGTTTAGTTTTGATGGAGCTAAACTATGAAGTATGTATTTGTAAAACTTGATCGTATT